GCAGCGCAACTGGGTCTCGGCGTCTCACACCGTCGTGGCTGCCGCCGGCGGGAGGAGAGGCAGAGACGCCGTTCAAGGCTGCGGTCGCACAACCCGCAGCCCGGGGCAGCGCGCGGCTGCGGGACGGAGGGACGGCACGCGGCAGAGCTTTTCTCCGTACAGCCTGAGTCGTTATTACTTTATTTTCGCTAGCGTTATCGTGCGCGCCTCGTACAGCGGAGCAAGAAGGGGTTAATGGCCTGCCTAGGGAACGGGGCTGAGGCTCACCCGCTAGCAAGCCCGAGGAAAACGCCCTCCAGCCAGGGCAAAGCAAAGAGGAGGGAACAGGCTCAGCGAGAGGCCCGAGCCTTCATGAAGACGGAGGGCCGCGTCTTCACCTTCTGCATGCACTCTTTTCCTCAGCATCAGCTCTGCCCTCAATTAGCCTCAGGAGACAATTACTGCGAAAGAGAAGCATGCACCCTCGCATGAAAGCTGGGCTCAGTCTCGCCTAGCTTGAGATGTGTACACCTGAGCTGGGCAAGGATGAACTACTGGCTCCAGCAGGGTGCGATTCATGCAACCCGTTTTGGACGTGTCCCTTCGGACGAGACGAATCGTGCCCTCCGAGCGCCTCGTGCTCCCCGTGACTGTACAGGGAGTCTAGACAAGCAGCTCAGGTGCAACGCCAACACAGCAGATATCTAAACCGGGACGGGCGAATGCCATCCCAGGACACTTACGGCAGTTTTTCTCATCGCTCATGTCCCCGCAGTCGTTATCGTTGTCACACTGCCAAATGCTGTTTATGCAGTTCCCATTGAAGCATCGGTACTGGTTCGGCAGACAGGTGTTTTCTGGTGCAAAGAGGAAAACACAAACAAGTCGGCATTAGGCATGTTGCTGCCCTCTTGGACCAGAGGTCGTACTTCTCCATGCCCAAAGGGCAGCGGGGAGGGTCACGGTGACCTCTCAAAGTGGCAGAAGCCACCACCTCCCAAGGTAAAGCAGCGACAAGAGTTGACGCTTTTACCTTCCTTCACACAAGTGCTGTTCTTCATGACATAGCCGTGAGGACAGTCACACCTGACTTCCCCTGAAGGCAGCACGGTGCTGGAAACGCCCTCGGGACACTTGCAGCTTTTGCCGTTGTTTGACTTGGGCAAGCAGAGCAGGCTGCAGGGCTTGGCAATGCAGGCGTTCTCCCCTGGCAGGAGGCGAGGGGACACAGTGAGGACGGAGGGCCGCGAGACGCAGCGGGAAGCCCAGTTTTACCTATCGCATCGCTCCCTGCATTCAGGCCCCTGGTTAGGAGCCAGCTCAGCAGTGCCAAGTGTTGAGGCCGGGCTTAGAAAAACAAAGAGCTTTCTGCTCCCATGGAGATCAAGGGCCTTAATGGTCTTCCCAGTCTCTTGCATAGTCATGATTTTTAAAGCCCTTTGATGGTCTTAAACCCATCTAAAAACGATACCAATCCCTTCAGTGAGTGATACACCACGCAAGGGCTGCTGCTACCTGAGCACAGCCCAGAGTGATGCCTTTTTTTGCATGGAAAGGCCACAACCCGTGACCGAAACTGGGAGGTACCATCACAGCACAGAGAGGGCCCGATGTCTGCTTTCTCTCCAACAGGGAATATCTGTGGTGGCTGCTTAGAAGTAGGAAGCGATGCTAATGAATCACAGTCCTTAACAGGGCATCTGAGTGCCTAAAAAGCCCTGCAGGAATGTGAGTACATTCAGCTCATGAAACATGAGATGGGACGACCTCGCAGCTTGGGAACTTGTGGAAAGGGAGGTTAAACGGATTTCTGCACCCTGTGCTGTGGGACCCATCCATCCGAGCACTCAGTCTGTCACAATATCCCGAGGAAAGCTCATCTGCATGCACGCTCTGTTACCTGTCGTCTTTCCTCTGTAAAATATTTTCATATCCATGATCCCGTTTAATCGCCCGACTAAAATCTCCATTCTTGAGCCGCTGTTTTTGGATGCTCTAAAAATACTCAACTGTGACCAGTCATTCCAGTAGATTTCATTCTGAAACACAAGCTTTGCTCCTTAGTGCAAAGAGACCCAAGTGGAGCCACCTGAGAAGTGCTAGCCGGCGGCTATTTGACCTAAGACCATTGCATGCAAAACCCTGGAACTGCAGGGCAACGAGAGTCCAACTGCTCCTCAAAGCCAAGGGGAGGAAGATACGAAAGACTTGAAACAGGAGGTGCAGGCCAGGGGGAGCAGAAGTCACGTCTGTTGAGTCACAGAAAATGTGGGGAAGACATCACAGTGCAGCCGCTTGGAAAAGCTGAGAGCCTGTTGGATTTTGGGCCCGGTTTAAACTGCACCTGCCTGTTAATTTCTGGAGTTTGTCTGAAAATGCCAGGAGCAGAAAGAAAGCAAGCACCACCCTCTCACTCCCAGGAACCAAAGCCAGCGTGCTACACACTCCCCCTGCCTAAGACCACGTGGGCTGTGCAGATCGCCATCTACTTGAAAAGAGACTCTGCATAAATACCTTAAACACAGCAATAGCGTAGGGGTGAGGGAGGCTATCCAGGATCACGGATCTCTGGAGGCCATTGAAGTCAACCCTCTCGATTCTGTCCATATAGGCCTCTGTCCAGTAGATCCAGTGGTCATCCACAGAAATGCCGTTTGGCCACCGCACGCCCTCCGAAACGATGCAGCTGGCCGATGATCCGTCCATGTCGCTTCGGTAAATGCCAGGCCTGGAGTCTCCCCAGTCTGTCCAGAACATCAACCTGACAAGAGCCAGAGCGTTTACTCGAAATGATAACAGAACATCTCATCAAAAGGAAAGAGGTTATAAAGCAGAGATCTGAACACTTTAAATTCCCCGTCTCTTGCAAGGCATGTCTTTGGAAAAGGAACTCTTTGCTGATCAAATCACCCTGATCGGGAGATCTACAAGCAGCAGAGGCGCATATTTAGGTGGCAGTTTCTGCGGTGTGGAGGTAGCTGTAGGTTGCCTAGCTTTAAACTGCTCTGCGTAAGGACTCGGAGCGATGTAGGCAGCGCAGCGCGAGCTGCAGGAGCTGCTGTCGAGGTGGTTGCTCTGCTCAAACCAGCCGAGCAAACAGGGCTAAAGGCAGCTCAGGTTTGTCCCCGGTGTCACAGCAGCAGCCCCAGCAAGGCATAACTCTCCTTCGGTTCTTGAATGTGAGTGCAGCTCAGTTCCTCATGTATCAACACAGCTTCCTCCACTGACCAGACTGGTTTTACTGGCAGGAAAAGTTATCACCAGTGGAAACGTACAGGTAGGAGAACAGTAGTTTGATTAAAACCGAAACTGACTCCCAGTCTCGGACTATCTCCCAACTATTCATGCTGATGTCTTGCTTACCCTTCTCTGGGAACCAGAGCGAGGGCTCTGGGTCGTTCCAGTATCGAGGAATTTAGGACAGTAAGTCGCAAGTCTCCATCGGGATTGGCAACCTGGAGTAATAGCAAAAGAGGAGGAGAGTGTTTACTGCTGGCAATATAGAGAGCAATTGCACTGTTTAGAGCTACATGAATTTCCGTGGCATTTAATTACAGCTCCCTAATAAAACAGGTATCCAAAATACATGGGCAAAGGAGCATTTATCTTAGGGCAAGTGATAAAAGATGATAGGCCTGGTTTATTTGCTATTTCTACGTTAGCAAACGAGCAACTGGCAGTAGCGGCTCTCTACCGCAACCCTTTCTAGCCCCGTGCACCGCAGGACATTGCCCAACCTAAAATAGCTTAAATCATTGGTTGCAGGTAAATTATTTAATGAGCTGTTTGCTTTTTTACCCCGTTTCTACTGCTCACCTCGGCCTCACAAACTGACCTCAGTTTAACTATGCAGGGCTGAACAGTACCACAGCCTGTTTGCATTTAGACCCGATAAAGGGTCCGTATTCAGCAATGCCACACCAGCAATAAGAATTCAGGGCAGCATCCAACTTGGATACACTGGTGCAAATGCATCTTTTTAACACCGGTGGTTGTAGACATACCTCAATTTTTGGAATCCCAGCGTTGACCCAGTAAAGCAGTTGACTGAGAGGTTCAAAGGCCAGAGCCTCCACTGTTTCCAGCCCAGTGCTTATGATTATTTCTTGTCCAGAGCTGCCATTGAGACAAAGACGCTAAAAAGATAAAATAAAATGAACGGGAAACTCTCACAGCCTCAAGGTTAGTACGCTCAGGCGTGCAAGACGAGCCTTAACAGAGAGATCATGAATGAGAAGTACCTAAAATAAGCGCTCAAATTTCAAAGCACTTATGTAACAGCTCCATTGCCCTGCACCTGTGTGCCCAGTGCAAGGAGATAATGACACGGGTGACAGGCGTCCAGAGTAGGGGCAGGAATAGGAGGGATTTTTGGCTAACAACAGAGGGGCGAAATGCTAATCTTGCGCACGGTGCTGTTCTCGGTGCTCATTCACAGCAAGACTCTGCAAAGTGCTCGGCACTGACTTTCTGAGTCTTGTCACCACAAAAGTCAAGGGAACGCCTTTGCCTCTACAGGAGGCCAGGTGCGTGAGCGGGCCTGGCAGGGAGGGGTGCTCTCGGTCCCCGGGCACGTACGTAGTCCAGCCTGGGAGCTTAAGCCATGGAGCTCTCCCATCTGGTTGAAAATAAATGTTTGCTCTTGCCTTTTAGAAACTTCGTTACAGCATTGTAGAAATATATGAACCACTGAAAGTCAATGGAAAATCCCTGCATTGAGGCACAGGTATGTTAGGAAAGGATCTGGGGACAAACCTGGCCAAGATACGCTCCTAAGATAGGTTGCGTAGGAGGCGCAGTCATATGACAATGACCCTTTATGATAGGGGTCATGATATGACATGACGTTGTATGATATGACATGATACGATGCAGTCTGAACTCGAGCTGCGCTTTCTGCTGGAGGACCTGGGCTGCCCAAACCTCTGAGCTACCTGGTGCAGGCAGTGCCTTGCTCACCTGTATAATGTCAAGGGTGACATCGGCCCAGTACAAACAGTTGTGGTCGTAGTCAAAGTCGAGGGCGACTGCCCCTCGCAGCCCGGCCAGAGGCAGCTCCTCGCTGACGCCCGAGGAGAGGTCGTACCGGTGGATGGAGTAGTGGGTAGCGTACAGAATAAACTCATTCTCCTCTGCGAGAACAGGGGATTTGTTATACAGAAGCCTCCAGCTTTTTAGGTTACTCGAGGGCTAAAAAACAAATAACAAGTATTCCCCCTCCGCCCCCGACTGTGTGTTTCAGCACCTCAGTGTAACTGAGGCAAAGGCCCTTTGTCTCAATGGCATTAGGTTAATTAGAAAACACTAACAGCCTCATAGGGTCTCCTTATTCACTCATGTGACAGGAAAATACTACTCCTATTGTTTATTGCAGAGGGTTCAAAGAGGAGGCAAAAATGGCCCAAACCGTTTTGCCTGCTTCCTTTTTACATTTGCATTCTGCCAATTAAAAACAAAATACTGATCTCCTCTTCCTCCAAATTCTCATAAAAAAGGTGCGAGCGATGTAAGATTGGTGCGTCCCAGGGGATACCTTTGCTGCAGTAAATACTGCAGGGTGGTTTTTGCACAGAAGTTGGCATAACGGGACCCTCACCCAGGACAAAGCCTCCCAGGCGTTAGCACACTACAAGTCAATTGCGGTAACGCTATTAAGGAGTAAAGCTAACGTCAGTAACACTGACGATGCATCCCTACGGCGATACGAAACGCATCCTGTACGTGGAAGCGGTGCCAACCAGCGCGTTTCTGCATACTCTCAGCGAACGCTCTGGGAACGCAGCACTGCTGAGCCCGGGCTGGTAGGGGCTGCACGTTCATTTTTCAGGCAGCAGAGCCCTCGGCAGCGTGACTAACTCGGCTCTGCCGGCAGCTCAGGAGGGCTCAGAGGGTGAAAACCGCTCGCGCCAGCGCTGCCGGTCAGCCCCGGCTCGCAGCAGCCTCTTCCCTTTCTCCCCCTCTCCCTCGAGCTGCGGCGCGGTGGCATGCTAATCACGCTGCTCATGACGGCAGATTAAATTAAAGCCTTAACGAGCAGGATGCAAATAACGTTGGCAGCACACGGGCATGAAATCCTTTCGGTGCCTGGGATGTTTAGCGAGGAGAAGGAAGGGGAAGGCGGTGCCGGCGTCCGCAGCAGCCTCTTCCCTTTCTCCCCCTCTCCCTCGAGCTGCGGCGCGGTGGCATGCTAATCACGCTGCTCATGACGGCAGATTAAATTAAAGCCTTAACGAGCAGGATGCAAATAACGTTGGCAGCACACGGGCATGAAATCCTTTCGGTGCCTGGGATGTTTAGCGAGGAGAAGGAAGGGGAAGGCGGTGCCGGCGTCCTCCGGGGCCCTGCAGGGCGCAGGCGGGCGAGCGCCAACGGCTA